ATACCTATGACGGCGTCTGATGTTTTTTTGGGTCTTCCTTTCATTAAGAAGTTTGGGAGGATGGTCTTTGTTGGTTCATTGAATGTGTTCACATATTGAGATTATGAGAATAGATTGGTGGAGTTGAGATCATTATCACCGTGGGAGAGTGAGCATATCATGTGTAAGAGACATGAGTTTGCTAAAGCATTGTGCAAAGTGAAAGATGTACAACAAAATGAAAAGGAAGGTACATTTGAGGAGGGTGAATCGAGTGGTGGTGTAGGAGGAACCATCAAAGCTAACCATGATTTATTTTTGTTTCGCTTTGTAGGTAAAGATGTAAGTCTTGATTCGAGGACAAATCCTTTTCAAGAAGGGGAGGATGATGAGAATCATGCAGCTTCACATTGAAGTCAACATAAAATGAAGGAGCAAAAGGTGTTCTTGTCAGTTGGTGGTCCAAGATTGTTTCCGTTTAAGAATAGAAGAAAGTTTGCTGTGAGAACTTGGCCTTCTTTGGAAGAGTTATCACCAACACCTTCTAGTGGGAACATTGAGGTTGAAGAAGAATCGCTTAGTGAAGATCAAGGGTTGGAAGAATGTAATGAAGACTTTGCTAATCATTGGAGTGATTCAAATGATGAAGATTCAAGTGATGTCTAAGAGATTGATGCAAGTGAGTTTGTTCCAAAGAGCAAGCGTCTTGAAGAGATTGAAGATGCACATTCAAGTGTGTAGAAGACATCATTGGAGCTTGGCATTTTGAATGGAGCCGCGCACCAATCAAAAGGAGGAAAACGCGCGGGAATTATTTAATTTAAGTTATTTAAATTATTGTTGAGTCCGTAAATAGATAATAAGTCTATTTACCTAGAGTTAAAATAAAAAGTTTACCATAAAGATAAATTCATTAGGGCGGCCGAGAGGGAGTCTTAGGGTTTCATTAAATTAGGGTTTAAAAGTTAATGTATAACCGACCCTAGAGAGTATTTTATTAAGGGTAGATTAGTCTTTTACCATTAAAAGAAGTAAAGTTAATTACTGTGCTTGATGGGTAAGTTCAGTTAGAGTTTGAGTCATAATTGACTACGTCTTTCTTTTATGTGAATTGCATCGAGTAGTACAAGGAAAGTAGAGTTTCTTTGGCCTAAAGTAAAGGCTAAATAGTAGGGATTTTGTTTTGGAGAGCAAGGGAGCTTGCCTATTTAAGGTCTGAATCCTCTCACAATAAGTATGTGGAAAATATGAGTTATTAAATCAAATAAATTGATTTCGAACCCTTTGTGGTTTTTCTTAAACAATGAGCATTTCTTGTTGTTTTGGAGGAGAAGAATGGTTAGTTCTTTCTTTCTTCCTTAGAGCCTAACCTGTGACTTGGTTCTTTGAGTTAAACCGTTTTATCATGTTGAGCATATTGCATGATTTAATTGTTTTAAAACTAATGTTCTTATCATCTTTTGATATGAAGGTCGATAGGTTGAGGATGCTAAATTGCTTGGTTTGTTCGAATTCTTTGTGTCCTAGGATTGTACGATACCTTGTTGGTTTATGTATTTTATAGATGAGTTTGCATGGAAATAGCATGATGAATAATGTGTTTTTTTTGCTTATTACCTTGGTTATGAATGTATACTGTCTAATATAGAGATATATTCGATAGTTTGTTTGTTGTTGAGTGAATGATTTTCTCTTTACATGTGTCGTCAATTATATGGGTGATTGTTCGATTTTATTGAAGAGTTTCATCTTTTAAAGATTAAGTTGTTTAGTCCGAATGATTATTTGGATTTGTGTTATTGTCACGGACAGTTTTTCTTCACCACGAATTCGGGTGGTTTGATGCGAAACGGGCTATTTTCGTAGACGGACATGGGACGGAACGGTCTAGAACCTTGTGGAATTCTCCGGTCAAATCTTGAAGACTCTGGAATTTTCTAGAGAGGCCCGGAACTCTCTAGAAACGGGTGGAACCATGTGGAAGATTCTAGAGACTTGTAGATATTTTGAACTTAGAATATTTTATTGTTGGAATTCTCTAGAATTCCATTATTTTATTATGTACATAGAATTCTCTAGAATTCTTTAGGACTTGGGGTTTGCCTATAAATACCCCATGCCCCCTTCATTTGTAAGCATCCAAGCTTTGAGTAGAGTTCTCAAGCATTCCTTAAGCTCTCTTGTGCCTTCATCGTTCTTTCACTTTCAACCTTTCTTAAGTCTTTCTTTGCCTCCGTTCTTTAAAGTCTTGCCTAGCTTTGCACGCTTTGGGGGTCTTAAGGCTGAGCTAGCACTTGATCGTTAGCTGTTTTGTGCTAGTGCCGCACGGCCGTTACTTTGAAAAAGTAAGCCCATGACATTATGATCTTTTGCTTGAGTTCATAAGGTATATGAATTCTTTTTAACGGTCTAGTTTATTTGTGAAAATTCTGCACTCTTTTAGAGTTTCACTTTTAAACATATTTTTAAGATTTTTCTTATTGATGGTTCCATTAATGAAATTCGATTCGTCTACGGCATTGCCATCACCAACAAAACTAATTAAGTAATAACAGAATATGTACTAATTTTTTTAACATAAAAAATAAATTAAATGAAGTCATAAAACTTAGGGTTTCAATTTGATAACAGTTATGTAAATAAGATCGGTAGATAATCTTTGCTTAAAAATTTCATTATCAGAATTTGCTTTCTTGATTGTGTGAATATTTTCCTTAATTAACGTCAAATAAATGTATGATCATATGGAATATAGTAAATAATTTTGACATCAAAACATGTTTAGAAATTTAATTGAACCTATTTACAATTTTTTTTAGACTTTAAAGAAAGATGATCAATAGAGTGATAACATGGAGCACATATATAATATTTCCAAAAATTTATAAAAACTCTCCAGAATGCGTTTAGCACATCATTCTTATCATCTTTATTTATTTCTTACAAACTATAATTTTTTTTTTAAATGAAAAATATTTTTTTGGTTATGTTATCATGTTCTCACCCTATGAACAAATGTTATTCATTTCTAACTGGTTGAATTTTAACGAGGCAGTTCAGTCAAAAAAGGACAACTGAATTCTATAATATAATACTAAATTATTTTTTTTGGGTAACATATTTCCTTTCCTTATTACTAATGCATTAACCAAATTTTCCTTTAATATTTTCTTATTAATGTAAATGAATTGGAGTTTTTTTTTTGGGGCACTATTACCTTTCCCTTCAATCTTTTAAGTCCACCCAAAAAAAATATATATTTCTTATTCACGTGGATAAATTGGAAGTTATTTTTGGGGAATATCACTTTCCTTCCACTCCCATGAATATCGCTGTTTATATCAATCCAAAGGGATGGTTACAAAAAGGGGTAATTGAAAATTATCAACATTCAGTGAATTTCGCTTTATTTTTATCCCTATAAATACACATACTAATGCAGACGTTGTTTTGCATCAGAGGAAGAAGGGGAAGAAGATGAGTCTCACTAGGAAAAAACGTTCAGCAGTGTGCCTTGGGTGAACCACTTAGAAATCTTCTCTGCTAAGGTACTGTCTTCTTCCTACATTTTTTTTTCTCATTCTCAAAAAAAAAAAAAAACTCTTTTCTTATTTGTTTATTGTTTTCCAAAATCATTATAGTAGTTATGTATGGATTGAAATTGTGCATGCATAAGTTTGAACTTGTTGGAAGTTTGTTGCGGCTAAAATCTCTTGGGGTTTTTAAAGGGTCAAATGAATTAGCTACTTGATTTGGTGCGACCGGTGATTGTTTGGTGTTTTTCTTTCTTGTTTTAATTACCATGGCCGAGCCTTGGAAAACCAAAAGTAGATTCTATTAAATTTAAAAAAGTTGAATGGGTAGTATAATTCATTCACCTTTCTCTAACTCAAACAATCCTGTCATATTACAACTCCTATTCGGTAGAAGAGGGGCTGCTCGGGAAGGGAGTTTTCATATGGCGGGTTCACCTACAGGTGCTCCAGTATACTCTTTTCCTTTGCGGGGCTCCTTGGGGTTTCAGTGCATATTGCACTATATTGGTGATGAGATTTGATCCAAAGAATAATATTATTAAATTCAAAGTTTTAACATTTTAATTAATTGACAATTTGAGTAGCCCAAGTTGTTCTTCGGGTACTTAATATCAAAATATGTACTCCCTCCAACCTGAAAAATAGTACATATTAAGTTTTGAAATTTATACTAACCAATCTACATTTTTGTCCACGACAGAAGGAGTATATTATATCTTTAAATTGTTTTACTGAAAAAATCAGATGATTGTTATTAATTAGAATAAGCTATTCATGCATCATATTATTTATACTAGATCCTTCTTTGTCTATTTATGGTTGTTTTGATTAGTTTTTATTATTAATGTAATATCAATTTTGTTCTTTTACCTTAATCGAAAGTTATGTTCCACACTAAATTGAGTAGTGTTCATACAAACGTTTTGACATGCCCTTGATTGCATCCCTTAATGAATCCTAAAAGTTTTGGATTCAGAAAAAATATGTTCCTTTGAGGTTTTGGGCCACCATCGGAAATGATATCTAAAAATTGAGTGACATAATTAAGTTGTCGCTCAAGAGTAAGGGATGTTGAGTTGACATCAAAAATTAAGAGTTTGACAGTCAATGGGATTTATTGGGCAAACGTTTAGAAAGGTGTTTGACTAAGTGATTATTCAAGAATTGAAGGTACAAGAGTTGATGTCTCATGCCAAGGCTAATGTCAATAAGAGAAAGATTGTAATGAAGAGAAAAATAACTTCTCGTGGCGAGACTAATCGATGAATTTTGTCAAAAGGAAAATTTGGATTTGTTGCTTGTACTCAAGATGCATATCGTTGGAATTGTGTTGATGATGATGAAGTTTCAAAAATAGATAGTCGCAAAAAGGTATGTCTTGCCTTGAAGCAATTTCAAGAATTGTATATAAATCTTCTACGAGTATAGAAAAGTGAACGGCCAGAAAAAGAAAAATGTATTTATTGTGCAGATATTGAAGCAGCGATGGTTCTACAGAAAGAGGGAAAATGGGTGAATATGGATGAAGAAGTTGGAAGGGTTCCTGGTATTGAAATAGTTGATCAATTTAAGTTTAGGGTTGAACTTGCTTTGGTCGATCTTCATAAATAACTTAACAAAGGAATTAACTACATAAAATTTGGTGAAAGATTATATGCGACTTCCATTGTGAACTCTGGTCGTTATAATAATACAATAATATCGACAAATGAGTTTGTTTACATTGAAGAAGGTGGGAATCCAAACGTTTCTAAGAAACCAATGGATCAACGCCTTTTAAGAGGAAACCTCGCTCTAAAGACCAGTATGGTGGCGAAACTTCCTATAAGAGTTATTCATCATTGGGAATGTTTCAATAAAAATAATAATGGTTTGAAAGGAAGCAAAGGTAGGCACTATAAATATGTGTACGACGGATTGTATTTTGTGGCCTCTTGTCAACAAGAAAGGGATGACAATGGACTATTGGTATTTAAGTTCTGAATGATAAGATTGCCATATCAAAAAGTTGTTGGTAACTAATTATTTCCACAAGTGTGAAGGGGAAATGAATAAAAAAATATATGGGATCTTGGCTGGAAATCTCGCTATGGAAAACGTAAAAGTTTATTGATTGATTAATGCTTTGATTATTATATGTTTAAGAATGGGTTCGTTTAGCTTCATGAAATATTAGAGTTTAAAAATGTATTTTTAAAGATTATTGTTTTTGAAGGCAACATCTATTTTATCGTGTTTTAATTTTAATTCATTGTAAATTCCATGCCCAAGTGTTGCACATGGTTTTTACGTTTTAGTATACTTTTGGCTCATGATTTGTTACTCTAATAAATCATGAAAGTGTTGTTAAACATTGTTTTGTGTGTTTGTGTGTTTGTAGAACTCCAAACACATGTTTGACATCACATAGTCTAAAAGTTGTTTTGACCCATTATTAGTTTATTAATAATTCAAACTCTACCACATCACATCCATAAAAAAATATCAAGTACCATTACTCAATTGTTCAACCATTGTTGTGTGTTTTTTGTCCACACATAGTTTTAAAATCAATCTCAAAATATTTCTTAAAATGTTGTTACTTGCAAAATTAACCCTCAAATTTCTAAGAAATTCCTTTGTTTCATTACCTTAAATGTCTTAAATTCTAGTTCTTTGAAGAAAAAACACCCATCATAATCATTATGAACACCATCATCAAAAATAAAAATCCAAAAATCCCAAAAAACCAATATTCAATATTTTTTCAAGAATTGTATGATATGCACCAAAACACAAATCTAGAAATAAGCAAGAAAACGCATTTCTAATAAATAGGGATCAACTCACAAGTATATATAGACGGACGCCTAAAAATATTTGTATTTGGACATATCACCCAATTTGTGGGATTTGTCTTGGACACTTATTTTATTGCAATTCCAAACAAAAGATGTCTAGTGAACTCATAATAGGACTCGAGTACCATAATTAATTACACAAAAGAGGACATTGTTTTAAATTTATATTCTATTTCTTAAACTACTTATAGATTATAATAATCATATAATAGAGTCAATGCTCAAACATAAAACTGGAATTACAATTTATTCATTGAAAAAACTATATTCATTTTATATTGTCACTAGATTACAATATCAATTTTCAGATTCACTTTTGGAAGCAATTAAAGTGGCAATAGGGTGATCTAATAATGCAAGGCGAAATTCACGAGTTTGAAAATAAACATGTACTCCATCTGTCCCAAAATAATTGTCTAGTTAAGAATTTGATTTTTAGTACAATTTTTATATTAAAAATGAAATTTCATAGTGAACAATCATTTCGGAATGAATGGAGTATGTACTTTTTACGATGTTCAATCGTTGTTTCTAACTGAACCATCCAATTTAAGTCCATCCAATGTCATTTTGACGCAAAAAAAAAGGTGATTATAAGGGTGTGCAATGGCATAACAAATTCATTTTGATCGTTGACGTGCTAATCAGGTGATTTACTAAATAATAATCTTAAAATTTCCAAGATAAAATTTAAAACTTTCATAATTTCCAAGATAATCAAAAAGTTTCATAATTTTGCTTCTGCTTTTACTTTATTAATGTGCTATGCTGGAGTTTCTTTTCAAGGAATCCATGGAATTAGTAACCAATTAGTTTGATGAGGCAAAGCGGTAGGTTGGTGGACATGAACATATCTGATTGCCGCACGGACGGATTTTCAATAATTATGTGAGATTTCTTGTTTACTGACACATTCATGGTAACAAAATTTGCGCTACGTGATCCATACCTTCCATGAAAGTACAAATGCAATTTCCTATCTTTTTTCTGTTAAAATGATAATCATATTTAAATTAAGAGAAGTGATACATACATGGAAACATTAAAAGGAAAACTTACAAAGAATGATTTGTCAATCATCTAAACTATGCTGTAACCTTAAATGTTTAAATTCCAAATGGAAAATGTTAAAAATGAATGGGTATGATCAATTCATTGTCATTTTTTCCCTATATGTATCATTATTCTTAAATTAAAGTGAAAGCAACCAAAGTTACAAGTTACAACTACATAAAGTGGAACAACTACAATGGGAATTAGGTATCGGCCTGATGGTAAGGCTCTAAATGGATCTTCTAGAGGTCCAGGAATCCATTCTGATTCGGGATATGCAAGGGGAGCTTTTTCAATTTTTAAGTGGGGTCCATTGAGTGGATTTTTTTTTAAAAAAAAAAAAAAAGTGGAACAACTACTACCTAAGATTGAACTATCAAGATTTGTCATACAGACACATCACTGATACATTGAAAGAAGTCTACCATTGAATCTAAAAATTTACAAAGACGAACTTCAAGACAGTTGAAAGGTTTGTGACACATCCCGCACAAATTGGCTCTATTAAAAAGGCTAAATGTGAAATGTCAAATACACTAGAGTCATTTATTTAAACCAAATTTCAAACATCTGCGGAAAACATTTTCAACTAAATAAATTCTCGTGTAAAACACTACACGTCAAACCTAGGGAACAAATATAAATGTCTTTTCTAGAAAATATTCGGCTCAAAACACGCACAAGTGCAACTTGCTAGAAGCCCTTATTCAACTTACCAATTCTTAATCTGCGAGGAGTGGAAGGGGGATAAGCTATATAGCTTGTGAAAAAACCGAAAGGGTTTGCACCCCTGATATGCTTATATTTTACCTATTTATTATATCCCTAATTTGTGATTTTTGCAATATATTTTGAGTACAAATATGCTATTTATGTGATTTTGTCTTTAATTGTAGGAATTGTACTCAAATGAAGAATTGTCGAAGTTTTGAGCTAAAATCGAATTAAAAGCAACTCAATGAGAAAGAATTGAAGATTGGAGCAATTGATGGGGAAGAAATTAATGAGTTTAAAGAATTGGAGGGCCGATGATGCAATTTTAGAATTCTTGTTTTTGGAAAATCAGCCATATAACCATAAGCTTCTCGGCCAATTTTCCAAAAACAAGGTGGATAGCTCATAGTAAAAATTCATGTTATGGCGAAACTTCATCTTATGGTGGTGAAACTTCACATTTCAGGGGACCAAATATTGTTGACAATATGCAAGATTTACTCAATGATGCATGTAGAGGGGCATATGAAGATGTTGAGATGGGATCAAATGAAGATATTAGAGTTGAGATGCCAAACATAGAAGCAGAGAAATTTTATAAACTAGTAGAAGATTCCAAAGAAGAGTTGTGGCCTGGGTGTAAAAAGTTTTCAAAGTTATCATTTTTGGTGCGGTTATATTATCTTAAGTGCCTTGGTAAAATGTCTAACAACGTTTTCACCATGTTATTGAAACTATTGAATGATGCAATTCCTGAAGGTGTGAAATTACCTAAATCTCATTATGAGGCAAAAAAAGTAATTGGAGACTTGGGGCTGGGTTATAAGAAATATGATGCATGCCCAAATGACTGCACACTCTATTGGGGCAAAGATGAAAGTCAAACAAGCTGTCCAACATGTCATTGCACCAGATGGGTTGTCTCTGAAGGTGATCACGAAGGAAAGAAGAGAAAGATCCCTCATAAAGTGTTGTGGCACTTTCCACTGAAGGATAGATTGCAATGCCTTTTCATGTGTTCAAAAACTGCCTCTTTTATGAGGTGGCATGCAGAAAGTCGCACTAAAGATGGCCATATGAGACATCTAGCGGATTCTTTGGCTTGGAAACATTTTGATTTTAAAAATTCAGATTTTGCTAAAGAGTATCGGAATGTTAGATTAGGTTTGGCATCTGATGGATTCAATCCTTTCAAGACAATGAGTGCGGTTCACAGTATTTGGCCGGTAATACTAGTTCCTTATAATTTGCCTACGTGGATGTGTATGAAGCAACCTCATTTGATGATGTCATTGCTCATACCTGGCCCAGTAGCTCCAGGAAATGATATAGATGTATATCTCCAGCCATTAATTGCAGAATTGAAGGAACTTTGGGATCATGGTGTAGACACTTATGATGCATCGCTCAAGCAGAATTTCAAGATGCACACATCATTACTTTGGACCATTAGTGATTTTCCAGGCTACGCAAATTTGTCAGGATGGAGTACTAAAGGTGAGTTTGCATGTCCAGTTTATAACAAGGAAACTGAATCGAAATGGTTAAAAAATTGTGGAAAACAATGTTAATTGGGTCATCGCCGATTTTTGAAAAATGTTCATCCATTCAGAAAAGATTCAAAGTCCTTTTTATGGAAACCAAGAACATAGAAATCCACCTGTTGACTGAGATGAGGTAATGTGTTGGCTGAATTGGATGGATATGAAATAAAGTTTGGTAAACTTGTAAAGGACAATCCAACTTTGCCTTTTAGTTGGAAAAAAAGAAGTATTTTCTTTGACTTGCCTTATTGGAAAGAGAATATGCTACCTCATAATCTTGATGTCATACATATTACCAAAAATGTATGTGAGAACATTGTAGGGACAATGCTGAATTTAGATGGAAAAAGTAAGGACCATTTAAAGGCACGACGTGATTTAGAAGAATGGGGCATTAGGCAAGACCTACATCCAATAGAAGTTGAAGAGGGTTCAAAAAAATTTTATTTGCCACATGCACGACGTGATTTAGAAGAATGGGGCATTAGGCAAGATCTACATCCAATAGAAGTTGAAGAGGGTTCAAAAAAATTTTTTTTGCCACATGCATGTTTCACCATGGAAAAGAAAGAGAAGGAAATGTTTTGTTCAACTTTGAAAAATGTGAAAGTTCCTGATAGTTATGCATCGAATATATCAAGATGTGAGCAAACAAAGCCTCCAAAAATTTTGGGTCTTAAGAGCCATGACTATCATATCTTGATGCAGCAACTCTTGCCATTATCTCTAAGGAAAACATTATCAAAGTCTGTGCATGGTCCTTTGATCATGTTAAGTAAATACTACAGAGAATTGTGCTCTAAAGTCATCAGTCCTCAAAGCACAATTAGTTTGGAGAAGGATATTAGCTTAATTTTGTGCTAATTAGAGAAGTTGCTACCTCCTTCATTTTTTGACATTATAGTACACCTAAGTGTGCATTTGGCTGAGGAGTTAAGAATAGGTGGGCCGGTTCATTATCGGTGGATGTATCCTATTGAAAGGTATTAAACTAACAGGTATTATTTTTTATTATTTCCTTGTGTTTTGTACTTTAAAAATGTTTGTTGATATTACAAAATTTTCTTTTTCTGTTTGATCATTTAGGTATATGTGTACATTAAAATCATATGTACGAAATAAGAGTAGGCCGGAAGGATCTATTGCAGATGAGTGCTTGGCTTTTTGTTCTTTGTATTTTGTCGAAGAAGTTGAGACTAAATCCAACCGCAGTCATAGAAATGATGATGGGATTAGTGTGGATGGTATCCAATTGGATATTTTCTCAAATTTAGGCCGTGCTTTGGGGAAAGGTGATGCAAAAGTGTTAAGTCCGGATACACTACATAAAGCACATCAATATATTCTTTTTAATTGTAGTCGACTCAAAAAATACATTGAGTAAGTACTATATTACTTTTCTCTCAAATACATTTAGCTATAGTAAACATGTTTGAGTTTTTAACATATATGGATGACCTATATGCAGAGAACATTATAAAATTGTGAAGAGAAGAAATCCTCAACTCTCAATGCATGAGATTGAACGAACTCATAGTGAAAACTTTGCAAGTTGGTTTGCTGAAAAGGTAAGTGATGATTATTTTTTTGAATGGTTTTAATTTACTTCCATTTCTGGTCTTGTATATTACAATTCTTGATTTTGACAATCTGTGTTTGTTGTATTTAAAATAAATGATTTTTACTATTTTAAATGAAGTTTGTTGTTTTTTTTTACTAGTCTTTGGTTACACAAGATATATACATACAAGTGTTTGATTATATCTTGAGTTGTTGTTTTTCAAATTTGTTCTCCTTTTGCTTATCTGAGTTTCCTTTCCCTTTCTATGCATAAATCAATAGGTGAACTGTTTGGAAGAAAATGATCCTAATTTCAATGATTTGAAAATGTTGCCAAGAGGGCTGAATCCCATTGCAAAATATTACAAGCGCATTTTAGTAAATGGTTTTAGATTTCAGACGAAAGAGTTGGAAGCTCAAAGGAAAACACAAAATAGTGGAGTGTTTGTTACTGCCACAACATCCAGTTTTTCAAGTTCTAAGGTTCAAAATACTTTCTTCGGAGATGTTGCATATAACGGTGTATTAAAGGAGATTATTGAATTGAGATATTCAAGTCATCAAAAAGTTGTCTTGTTTCATTGTGATTGGGTTTCGTCAGGGAGAAGAATGAAAAAAGATGGAGATGGTTTCACGTTAGTTAACTTTTCAAAGGTGAGGCCCCATAATGAGCCATTCATTTTATCTTATCAAGCAAGACAAGTCTTTTATGTCCCAGATTCTATGGAAAAAGGATGACATATTGCTGTAGAATCAAAAGCTAGAGATGCGTATGATATGGATCCACTTGAAAGTGTTGACACACTCTTGCAAAGTGAGATATGTAACATTGATTCTAGCTTTGGAGTGAATGATGATTTGAATTGGATTCGTCATGGTGTTTATGGTGTTATTGTTGTGGCAGAAGAAGAAGACAAGCTTCCTCGTATGTTGATCAACATACTTTTTTGTAATACTATTTTATATAGTTTGGTTTTTCCAGTTTACTATTAATGTGCATGTGCATGTCTTCTCTTTTTGTTCATTAGTTTCTACCACTCTAATGTTTGCATTTTGTTCATATTATAAATTAGTTGTGTCATTGTTTTAGGACTGGATCTTTACTACATATTTGCCCCTTCTTAAATGAAAGTAGAATTAGACGCATCACAAATATCCCAAAAAAAATAAAAAATTCAGTAATCGTTGTTGAATAATCTTGGATTGATACTCCAGAAAGTAAGGTTAAGTTTAAAAGACATTGTAGTATAGTTTGTACAAATGATGGTCTTATTTTTGTAAATTTACTGTTCTCATTTTGATTGTTCATGATGGGGAAACATATGTTTCCAATTTTCTTTTGAATCATGGATTTTGGCATCGTTATACTCTAAAATTTGAATGTAATGTCGATGCCAATAGGTAATAACACACAAGTTAACTGAAATCATGGTTGTTGAAGTTCAAGCTGAATGGTGGTCTGAAAGAAAGAAGATGATGAAGGTTTTTTCCTTTGCAAACAAGACTAGATTTCCTTTGTTGTAAGATTCTGCTATTGTTGCTTCTTATATGCTCATTTGTGCCTAATGTGGACATGGTAGCTGTGAAGGTTGAATCACTATGTCACTTGCTTCTACCTCACTCAGATTCATCATGCTTGCTGGAAAAAGGTTTTGTTGGTTCCTTTTAGTTCTAAGGGTGCTGCCTTGCTTTATTACTTGTGGCAATTTTAGGTTCTGCTAGTATTGTGTTAAAGATTGCGAGACCTTCATCAGATTTTTTATTTCTTGGAGTACCTTATGGAGGTGAACTTTGAGTATTATCATGTTGTCGTAAGATTTTGTTTCTATCATTTGAATTTGATGAATATTGAAGAATCTTGATGTTATTATTTTTTGAGTCATTTTAATGATGATTTTATTCCAATTTTGTTTAATATTCAATAATTTTACTATTTTCATTGATTTATCCGAATTATTATTAAAAAAATCAAATATCAATTGAGACACTTATTATAGTCCCAACAGAAAGCATAAATGACTCCTTAAAGAAGACACATTTCAAGCGTCCTAAAAAAAACAATAGTTAATGGAACATTTTAATGTATCGCAACATATATAAGTTTATGGGAGGCAAACAAGTATCCTTTAAAATAAGAAAGATTGTTATGTATAGAAGTGTCCTAATATATATAAGCTTATGGGACGCAAACTAGTATCATTTAAAATATAAAAGATTGTGACACATAAAAAAAGTGTCTTGATATAATATGAGATTATGGGTCAAATTTTAACGTCCTATTAGAAATCAACATTCACGTCACTTAAAAACGTCCTTACAACACAGTTTGACTAGTCAATCAGGATCATATTTAATGGGACGCTTTAGTGTTGAGACGCGTTGATGTGTCCTTTTAACCTTTTGGGACGGCCACCTACAGGACGAATCATCATGCGTCCGGAAATTGTAAATGTCCGTAAAAATGCCTTATTGGGACGCTTTCCTGCATCCCCAATTAACCTTTTTCTCGTAGCGAAATCCACCATTTTATGAGTCAAACATCTAACACCTCATTTTTTTTATCAGTTTCATCCTTGTTTATGTTTTCAATACATCTTTCATAACATTTCCAGTATTCGAATAATTGTCTTAAAGTGAGAACTCCAATGAGTATCACCTGCACAAGCTTAACATGAGGCTCTAACAATATTCACAATCATAACAAGTTAATTGAAAAAATCACACACTTGCGGATGGTCCTTTGAAGTATTCACAACCAACAATTAAAGCCAGTGAGCAAATAAGTTGTATAAAAAATCATCAAGTTCTCAAATAAATCATAATCCGCTCTCATTCGGCGATCCCTCTCGAAAAAGCACAAATCTGGCTCTAGTATCAGGTTGATATTCAAAGTAGAAGTCATCTTCCTCTGCTTTCCTACGTCTGAACTTTTTGAAGCAAATTACTTGCAACAACCTTCCCATGCCATACCCTTGTATGCCGAAATATTGTTGTATGTATCCCATGGTGTAGAGCCGAGACTTTATAAACCACCCAATTGTTTTTTAAGATCTCCGATTGTCATAGACAAAAGGAATTCGACTTGCCTTCATGTCATGAAGATATTTGACCATCTTTTTAGTCATTACCCTTTGTGAACGCAGAAATTGTCGTTGGGAGTCATGGCACAAACTATAGTTATGACTTTTCTCGTGCTTTGTAACTCTCCAAATTCCATTTTCATCTGCATTGAACTTTATTCGTGCTTGACAATCTGTACAAACATTGACGTTTGAGTGCAACTTATTATTCTTGTTTGTGTCTTTCTTCACCCCAGTGTTCGAACATAGGTATAATATAATGTTTATGGATTTTACACCTTTAGTTGTTTGCCTATAATATTGCTTTCCATTACTACGGAATCTATCTTCCTTTGCATAATCATTATACATAAAAAAGGCGTCTTGCTTAGAAGTTGCAGTCAATCCAACCAGAACATCTTTATCCTTTGTGGCGACAACTTGAAGATCGCCTAAATTACATTAAATTACACGAATATCATTCATCATTGAATTCTACGGATATGCAAATTAACAACAAGTACATACTGTAACATGGTTATGTTCATAATGTATGCCATGTTTTTTTTATGAATATAGTAAAAACATAATTGTCATAATTTCATAATTATAAAATCTTCTACAAGATCCCCAATCAAGATGATGCATATGAACACTAAACAATCTTTGTAGTCACGGGGATCATACACCTAATGCAAAAAATTTGCTCATATATTTATACATTGAAGTTCAAACAATAATATGTTTACTTTCATACAATTGTTCATAAAAACTAAACGATCTCATGAAATTTGCTTAATGTTCACACTAAGACTTATTCATTAATAAAAACTCAATAATATTACCTGAAGACATCCCTATTGTGTCATCTTGTAGATGAAATTCATTTTCATCTTCAGTTCCATCCCTAGGAGCATATGAATCAACCAAGGTCAAGTCTACTCCTGAATTATCGTTATTTGCATCCATAGAACAATAACAGTCATCCATGCCTTTTTTTTCCGAAATTAATGAATAATAATTAATATGTTCATATAAACACAACCATGAGTTATAAATATACAAAGATTAATTTGTACAATAGAGTTTAAAAACAAATAAATATTTCTTTAAAGATCATATAGTATATTTTTATGGTTATAAAAAGTAGTAAAGAGAAATATAATGAAATAGAAAAAAAATGAATAAAAAGCTTTACATATTTTAGGAGTTATTCTTATAATTTCTTTTTTGAAACTATTAAGGTATTTTTGTGATTAAATCTCTTATTGTATTGAAAAATTAACAAAAATTCGTTAAGTTGGAAGGAAGTTAGGCCAATTGCATGAAATTGGAAGAAATTTCAAATATACAAGACAAAATTGGCAAACTAAAATTTGTAGAGTAGGATTGACAACATGAGTAAAGTTTTGGGTAAGACTGCCAATTTTTCCATTAGTTCCCTACTTCCCATTTAGTAAGCACTGAAAAATAATTCATGGACATTTTGAAAATGTATTGACTATGGACAGGTTTTTGTAACTCAATACTTCCACGAAACAAAATGGAATCTTCAATTGGAGCGCCAGTAAACGGAATTCTCGCTCTTAAAGTTTGAGCTAAGGATTTGTTTTAATGAGTTATGGCTTTTCAATTATTGGTATCAATAGTGGTAATGCAGTGGCTTGAAAACTGTAGTATGGATTAAATGTAAACTTTGAAAAATATATAGGCAAAAGGAAAAAAACGGAGGGAGAATGGGAAGAAAATTTTTTGGCTTGTGAAAGTAGTCTTTTGAAATTTTTATTCAATTAGTGACAAGATATCATTAGTAAATATTAAATGTATAAGATCACTTCAATTTGCATTATCATATTACATCTGGATATCATTGTAATGATGGGAAATGTAATTAAATTTCGATACATCCATTCCCTTTCTAGTGCATAGATGGCACCCTAATTGTTTTTTAGCTATTCAAAGTAAACTTTTTGAATATGTCCGAAACAATTGCAAAGTTTGCCTCCATTTGGAAAATATAAGTTTTAGCCAATATCATATTGTTACATTTAGATATATCGATGTTTTTATGTCAGGAATTCACATTTGAAATATCTCTGCAAGAGTAAGATGCTACTAAAATCCGGGCTCGAAAAGTATCATCAATCAACTAATTGCTCATGAGTGAATTACTCTCTCTAGGTGAAATTATTGTGTCCATGGACTCCTCAAAATGACAACCAAATGGTGAAGTAAAAGAAGAAGGTAAAAGAAAAAAATAAATAAAAAGAAAAAGAAGAAAAAAACATTGCTCATTTGGTTACACACCATCCTTTTCCACCCCCTATCTCACCAATGCTAATGGGCAACTTAATTTTGCCAGAAGCTATGTGTGGGATCTCGTATTTGAGAGCGCAAGCTATGCCCATTCTAGCACTGTTAACATCCTTAACGTTTATTTCGCCTCCGAATGTTAAGTATACTGCATTGAAGAATTGCAGCTGCAGCAGGGCACCGATATCGCCATCTGTGCTCACTCTGCCTTTGATCATCAGAGCTTCGTTTATTTCATACTGGCTTCCCAATTGGATAGTCGTCAGCTTGTCCGCGAATCTGTGGGTTACCTCGGCCGCGAATGCAGCATCCCTCAGGGGCTTTGTGTAGCAGGATGCACTCAGAGTTCCACCTTTTTCTTTCCTGCATCAGGATATTGAATGTTTTTAAACTCAAAATTTTTGAGAAATGAGAAGAGCAGAATAGTAGAACTTGACAAAGCACGATAGCAACATATGATCAATATAACAGATTTCATAGCCTTTCTTACTCACTGCACCTCTGAATTGACAAAAAGAAGAAAAGGCAGAAAGAGAAGAGAGAATTACAATTGTAGTGCTGCTCTGAGGAAGGGAACTTTGAAATTCAACCCACCATCACACTTGAGGAGTTGTCCGACTTGGGTATCGAAAGCGATTGCAGTTCCAATGTAGCATCTGCTGTATCCAAGCACTCCGGAAAAGTTCACTAAGGGATTATTTGTCATACTGGCTCCCATTGTAATTCCGACAAAATCATACAAGTACCCAATCTCCACCTGTATGAGGAAAAGTAAGAACATATCTTTGGCCATGCTGCTGAACAGATTTGATTAATGAAAGATGAATATATAAGAAGAAAGTTTTGAAACAGAGAAAACTGAATATATCACCTCACTTAACCTCTGATAAGGAACATAAACTCGGACAATTGCACCGAGCCCAGGTAACATTTCAGGGACTGCAGACAATATGAACATTCATGATTAGACACTAAGCTAATGTAAGCTAATGATGAAAGATCATTTTACGTTATATAAAATTGAAAGTCTATGGTAAAAAAATTCCATCTGCATTACATAAACAGCCATTGATGCGAAGAATTTACCATTACAACGAACATCGCAACTGCAGTCTACATATCCCCAGCTATAGTGATTTTCCGGCTGATGAACATAATCCCTGTAAAGAAGTTCTGAGGAACATTTGAGATAGATTTGTTAGATTATCCGACACCGATTCGTGTCAGGATATCTAAATTTAAGCTATGGTTATGAAATTTCTGTAAAATTCAAGCATTTTTCTGACCCTAAATTGCAAACATACATACAGTAAAGATGAACTTGTTGAGGAGACTTAGATACAATTTTTACCTCGAGCCTTTCGGCCAATATCGTAGAAAAATCCAGGCTTTCTCCCCATTGCTCTCTTTTTTTCCTGTAGACAATGACCCTTTTTTCGATTTGGGATTTCCATTGATATGCACCATCTGGGATTTATTCTACTGAATTGAACAGAAAAAGTTAAAAAGGGAACCTTCCTTTCTTGATTTCTAAAAGTGGAGGAAGTTTCCAACTTTTCGCTGTCGAACCTCATAATGATTTGTCCTAATAAGATAAAAATAAATAAATAAATAAAAAAAACAGTAGCTCCTGCAATCTGCATTCCAATAAAATCATTCCAAAATCTTTTGGTATTGAAAGACATGAAACTGTCGATACATTCCGAAGAAGCGGCTTCCAGGATGGTAGCAACAGCATTTGTAGCAGTACTACAACATCAAACTCTAATCAGTATTGGTTGTTGGTTACAATTTTCTTTAATTCATGGTTGAGAATTTTGAACTATGAACCTTTCCAGATGGATTTATATGCAGATCAAGTCAACTAAAAACGTTAAAATTTTCTTTACATGGTTACAAAAATTTGTAAACCAACGCGTTACAAGAGTAATAATCTTAGTACTCTCAGGGACAAGGAGAAAACATTATTTTTGATGTACAAAATATCAACTTACTACCTAATTTTATCTTTACAAATTCAAAGACTAATGATTCCAAATGCTGCTACAATTAACAGCAAACATCTAACTTCTCACATCCCTCAATTCTTGAGGTCAGGATCTTGTTCTAACTTCAAGCAGATGCAGGAGGGGCTGCGGACCCTTCACTAGGATTGGCTGCAGTTTTCTCAGCTTCATTGATTAGCTTCATAATCTCTTCTTTCTTAATAGCTAAATCCTGCATTTTGGCATCAAGTTTCTCAAGCTTGAGCTTCAGTTTCGCCGGATCCTTCTTATCTTCAGGATTCTTGCTCTTCTTCTCCTTATCTTTCTTCTTCTTGTCTTTGGACTTCTCTTCACTCTTTTCGCCTTTCTCGCCCTCGTCCTTATGCTTCGACTTCTCTTCCTTTTCGTGTTTCTCGTCTTTCTCATTCTTAGTCGTATGGTCATCTTTCCCTGAATCACCAGTTTCTCCCATTCCTGAACTGAGGTGTATGATTGGTTTTCTTTTGAACTCTTCACAATCCTTCACATTACAATCATCAAAACCGAGTCAATTTTCATTTCGTTAAATGTTTGTTGAGAAAATGAACAAATCCTAACCATAACAGGAACAATTCTACACATTGATCTATCTGTGAAAGCCAAGGAAGAATCGGGTACACTAAATATTACAAATTCCCCTGTTTCCCGATCAAAGTTTCTCTTTTAACCATCATTCCGTTTATTATCTCTGTCCCATTTTAATAGTCAAAACAAAGTGAATTATTAAAATAAAACGGATGAATGAAGAAACGTTTACTCCCTCCGTCTCAAAATTATGTCCGGTTTGAATTTTCACTTTTAGTTTAATTTGTACCAAAACTGAAAATCCAAACTGGTTAATAATTTCGAGATGGAAAGAGTACAAGATATCGTTTCACAAATGGCATTTGTGGACAAACAACAATTGGAAGCAGCAGATCAAATATGTTCAAAAATACAGAATGGCATTTATATTGGCAGCATGTTGTTAGTGAGTTCTCAAAATGCAGTAAAAGGGTAGAAATAAAATTTTGATTAACAAACCTGAGAAGAGATGAGTTCTTGGCCTAAAAGGAGGTGTAAAATTATGGTTTGAATCTAACATATGACCATGGTTTATATAGAAAGAAACACTTGGAATGTGGTTACCGCAAACTAAAATTTTTCCTATTATTGGTGGTCCTTGTTCCAGTAACTTACCGACCTTTACATTTTTTAAGTTGTTTTTAGCCACTTTTCTTTCCTCACCACAACTTTGACTATTTTAACTCCAAACCTCGCTTCATCTTTTTCTCATATCCCTGAACAGTTAACTTAAGTTCAGGATTTTATTAGTCCATGGTGAATGAAGAATCGTCGCAGAAATGGTAAAATTGGGATAAATGTAGCAAATCCAATTGACTTTTTTTTTTAAATCACAAATCGGGTTGTAATTTAATTGAAGAACACATTTAAAATCATTGATCAAGGACGCTCTAAACGCTTTATATATGACAATTGATAAGCAAAACTACACATTCTAAATAAACATGCCAGGATGTCATTCAATAGTGATTTGTAAGTGTGAATGTATGCTTTTATAGAATAATAAACCCAACTACACAATGTTCAAGAATAAAAAAGTTCAACAACACAACGAATGCAAGTTGTCTACAATTTTGAGCATCATGAAATAGGATATTGTAAAGAACAAAGAAATAGTACATAATTACATATAGCTTGTATAGTAGCTTGTATTACAAATCATGTTAGAATGCATAAATATGTCAATGCTTTCAAAGACATCATTACAGCCATTAAAAAAAAAAAAAAGCAGCATCCATTATTTTCAACTCTCTTTGCTGCTTTTAATGTTTGCAGCACTCAAATTTCTTCTACTCGTACATCTTTTTTTTCCCATTCCTTCTGTCCTTGTTTGATGTTTAGACCAGTCAAATCAATGAATTCAATCACCCCAAAAAAAGAGTAGAAGAAAAACAAGGCCTCCCAAATCCCCACTTTGCCTCACTTTTTCTTCACTTCTTCCCATGTTTTTTTCAGTACCCAAAATCAACTTTTCAACAAGACCCAGTGTGCCCAATTCAATCCATCAAAAGAAATCTTTCATTTCCCCCCTTTTTTGGCGCCAAAAATTTGATGTCAATTCTAACACTGTTCTATAGTATTTGGGTTTTCTTTTTCTTTATCTACATAACTACTTACTACAATAAACGGTCAGATAAACTTGGAAGTCTCCGAAAGAAATTGAGGCTAGCTGGTGGCATTGGGTCCCTAAACATGGGATGACGCAAAAAGTAGAACCCAAGAGCTACTGCTACCATTTTTGGTGGCACACTGTAAAGTGTAATGGTGATCATAAGGCACACTCCAATGAATATTTTTGTGGCTCTAGGGTCTCTCCAACTGACCAATGCTTGGAGCCTTTCACCCTGAGTTGCAAAATCACCCAAAACCGTTTGGACCCGGGCTGCCAACAGTCTTAACCGGTCGTATCGCATCCGGATGATCTCGGGTGGCTTCGAACTCGGGATGGTGTCGAATTCCTCGTCTAACTCGTCCGGGTCGACCGTTTCTGCCTGCGATAGTCGGACATCCATGCCCGCGGGTATTTTCGGTTTGAACCGATAGTACCATACGCCAACGAGGAACACGTAAAGGAACCCGGTTGGTACGATCAAGTCTGGATACCACACTAGTACCAAGTAGAGGACATGAACTAAAACCGTGGTGATCGGGTTCTTCCATCGCCTGATCTCATCTAACCATTTCGCCAACCCGACCGCCCATGCTAACACCGCCACAATTCGGAACCAATTAGCCTTACTTTTCCTCATGCTCCATGCGTGAGAATCAGCATCTAACATGTAACGAACCACCTCAGGTCCAAGCGGCGGCTCGGATCGGGCTAACCACACCGCTACCATTTTTGTTGCGGCCGCACGTAACGCCTCTTGTTGAGCTATGCCGAGTGGGCGTAGATAATGCATCCGGGGGAGCAACGGTTGCCCGTAAACAGCACAAGTTTCGGCTAAATACGACGGGCAAACAAACCGAACCGCCACCTCAATCTCGCCCATTTTCTTCAACCCGGTCTTCAACAAAACCATCAATGGATACGAATTAGTGTACACCTTGTTATTCTCCAATGTGGATACCCGGATTCGAACCTTTCCAATCCGGTAATCCGGCTTCTCGTCTCCCATGTCAGCAAACATTCGCCAATTATCAAACACGCCAATAGTAAGAACCGTGCACGGATCATAAACTTGCCAAGTGTACTGTTCGTTCCACCGTGGATCGAAGCTATCCGTTATAGTTCGGGTTCGGACCCACTTCTTCCCATACTTGGCAACACAGTAAGCATCCGTGGACCCTTTTCCTCCACCCTTGGATTTCATGGGCAGTAATCCACGGGCACCCAAAATGCCGAGCTCCAATATCCCAATGGCCGGTTTCCATAGTTGCTTTGCCGTAGGCCTGAAGTCACTGCACACGTGCGCCGCTTCATCAAGCACGTGATACCCTCCCTCTAAGCACACCCTCAACTGGATCCTCCCGCAGTAGGCTCCACCACCCGGTCCACCTTCCAACCCGTACCACTTCCAGGCCACGTGCCGCTCATCCAACCGCTGCTCGATTGATCCCACCGGAACGATCACATGCCCGAGAAGTGCCGGATCTTTTCCCGTCCGATCTTCGACCAGAATGATGAGCGTGTCTTCGAGTGGCTCTCCGGCGACGAAGATGAGATCCTCGTTCCAGTGAAACGCCGGTGCATGGTGGCTCATGGATCCTCTCCGGGTTCTGGCAGACTGAAACCCGAGTTGTGCTTTGACCCGAATTTCCGGGGCGGTCAACGGAGGCAGATTCGGAGCTATTTGAAGGTCCTGGGCTTCTAGCACAGTGATTCTCAAGTACCATAGCTTGGGAGACTGATACACTTTCGACCGCGTGTGTGACACGTGGGTTGTGGGCGCGTCGGTGCTCCACGCTTCCGGGAAAGCATCATCAGCCTGAGTTCCGATCCAAACTGACAACTGGATGTCGCCGGAGACGTTTTCCTGACCGTCGGGACCTCCTCCTCCGCCGCCCTCAAGGTGGTACCATTGGGGTGCGAGTGGACTATCCGGTGGGTCTCGTACGGGCACGTCGGAAAGGTCGAAGCAAACTCCGCCGAGAAACTTCTCCGACGGAGCGTCCCAGACTGAGATTTCGAGAGTGGAACTGGAGTTTTCAGCTTTATTATGGCCCAGAGCGAAGACAAGGTGCCATTCTGGATTGGACGGCGGTTCTCCCGGTCGGGTCGACCCGGGCTTCGACTTCACCGAATGATTCGACGTCCGTATCTTGACGATTGGACTCTCATTCGGAGCTAAATTCCGGGCCTTCACTATCCGAATAAACAAATACTGCATCGGCTCAACGAGATCGTACGGAGAGATTTTCTCAGTAGGATCGCCGGGATGTTTTCCGGCGATTACTTTAGGCGAAAAATCTCCATTCACCTGTGGCCTCCTCATAACTTTTACTCTGTCTCCGCCTCTCCCACCACCCATGGCCTGCATCCGTCTCATTTCCGGCGGGATTTCCATCACCGGCGGAACGTGGACCTCCGAATAACTAAACCTCTCCGGCGCCTGGGACGGAACCACGTTCACCGGCGGAGGCTCCTCCATTGTACCAACCGGCGGGAACTGATCTTTCACCTCCATGGCAATCTCCGAAGGCATCGGGACCTCCAAAACCCTCACAGGTGGCATTTCCTCCATCATCGGACCCCGCCTGATTTCCTCCGCACTTTGAGGCGGGGCAGCCGGCGGCGCTTCCTCCTGCTGCGGCGGGGGCTGCGGCGGCGGATCCTCGGAAGGCTCCATCTCGTCATAATAGTAAATCTTGAGACCCAACTCGCCCCGGATCCAACTGAACACACTTTTCTTCTCCAGTGAGAAGTAAATCAATCCTTCTTCTCCCCGCTTCGAAAACTGGGTCCCGTAGATTTTGACCCGACCCAGGAAATGATTCTTCCTCCCATTCCCACTGCTCAGCTTCTTATCATTATAGACTTCAATTTCAAGCTCTTCATACTCCATGTTGGAAGGATCACTGATGACGAACTCCAGCATCTCGTTCCAAGTCGGGTTGAGATTCTTGTACACGGTGGATGTACGCTTCTTTTGGCCGTCGAAGTCCACCACCACATATGGGCTTGAGCTTCCTTGTCCATCTTTAGGGAGGAGGTCCCGGGCTTCGATGACTTCCACTATGAGTTTCCGAACGGTTTCCGGTGGTTTTGATGGCGGCTGTGGCGGTGGTTCCGTTTGCAAAGGTGGTGGTTGTTGATCCGGGTGGATGGCGGAGGAGGAAGGATTCATGCTGTCATTATGGTATTCCGGTGGTTGCGCTGGTGCAGGGGAAGAAGAAGGAGAAAGCTGGAAGAGAAGGGATTGTGTTCAAAGGTGTGTTTTTTATTTTTGGCCTTTTTGATTTGGTAGGTTTTTCTTTATTCTTTTGCTACACTGTAACTGTATTTTTCTTTTTCCCGCTAATTGAATTTCCTACATTAACTAATTTATGAGTTTTTTTTTTCCTTTTCTATGGTCTGGTAAGGTTTTCAATAATATTTAATCTGTTCACAAGTTCGAACTCCAAACCTGTTTAATATACAATAATGTTCTGTCTTAAAATTACTATTCACTTTGCATTGTTAATTTTAATTCAATTTGTATGAAAAATAAAAATCTAAACTAGAAAATAATATAGAGAGAGGGATTACTAGTTTATTTAGTACCTGGATTTTCGTAATTCAATTTATTCCATATTTTTTGGAGGGTGTTTTTTTGGGGGTGGTTTAGTTTGGGGCATTGGGGAATGTTTTGAGGGGAGTGGGAGACTGTGACAAGCGGAAGAGAATGTTTTGTGTTGGCTGTGATATGCTTAATGTGTGTGAGTGTGTGAGATTCCATGCTCTCTATTGAAGGTTTCTAAATGCTTTTCGACTAAATATAACCTTTTTGAGGTTCTCTATAACGGAATGGACTTTTTCTTATTCTTATTGTGTGCCACCAATCTTCTCAATCACCCGACCGTATAATAGACACTCTCAATTAAATTATAAACAAAAACTAATAGTGTAATGTCTCGAGAGATAACGTGAATTTATGTAGTAAAGTAGTCAAAATAATAATTTAGATTGAGTTGCTAATGTTAACCATTACAATCTGCAAAGGCGGCAACTTTGAGAGGTGTTACTGACTTACTGGAGAATATGAAGCTATTCTAGTAATTTGTCTCAAGTTGTCTCACACCTTGTTAACAAACCTGTTAAACTCTGACATTTAAAAGTTCTGTTTACTTGTTACTGTGCTAGATCTTGCTTAATTAAATACAAGTGGATACTTCAACAACGAAAGCAGAACCCGAAATGAGATGCCCGATATCACACATGGGAATAACAAAAATGTTGAAAAGATGCCATTTCTTTTTATATCAATAATATGCCACCAAATAAGTGAAATATTAGTGATGGGAGTCTAGGCCAAGTTATCAGAGAAGTAACTGAAAAATATCATTCTTTAGTTAACTAAGGAATACTCCATCCATCCATCCGTTATTATTGTCCTGTTTGATTTTTTTTATTTTTAGTTCAGTTTATACTAATGCTTAAAATTCAAACTAACCAATAATTTAGAAATGGAAGAAATACTACAAAATGGACTATCGATATGAGACAAGGCTTGAAATAAACATCTTCCTTAGTAGCAATTTCTTGATTATTACTATGCTCTGCCTGAAAATTTTTCCAGTGAGAAAGCTGAAATCTTGACTGCTGACCCATTGTAACTAGATAGAGTGTGTAGCAATTAGATGCTTTTTTCGGGCACATGATTCTGGTTCCCAGCTGCTGCTTTTATCTTCCTTTTTTCGTCAAAATCTCCCAACAAAATTTTGAAAAAGTTGAGGACAAAAGCATCTCCTTTATTACATCAAAAGGGGCCCTTTGGTGATTTTCCCACATAGGTATTATTTTGTCAACAAATAGCTGTCATGAACAGATATTGCTGCAGAGGCTAGTTAAGTATAGTTTCCCAAATCAATACTGATCTGACCCTTAATCACATTAGCGGACCGAAAATGTTTGTCATGTTTTTTTTAGTTTAAATTCCGGAGATCTGACTTATCCTACTGGCTAGTTATATACTCTGTTTGTCCCAAAAAAGAGTCGTGTTTGTTTTACTGTCGTGACGGGAGGAGTACAATTCAGACTAAATCACACTATAGTCGCGGATGTGTTGTGTATCTTGTTGTCCAACAATATATCAAATGTAATCCGGGAATTCCTGTTGTGACTTGTGACTGCTTACGTTTGATCTCTATTCTAGTTTTCTAATAAATGTGAAAACAGGAAATAGTGGCATTTGGCTGCCCCATAATGAACTCTCTATGGTATATTATAATTAGAAAGTGTTATTTAAGGGACAAAGTGATTCCACTTAGGGGACAAACCAATTGGATTGCCATCATTTTTCCTCGAGTTTCTGGGCAATTCTTGAAGCAACCGAGATGTTTTTACTAAATGTAATGCTGCATCAGACCCTTTGCCTAATCAGAAGGAAGGGTAAATAAATTAAAATAGCTCAGGAGGTTTATATAGTTGTGATCAAGTTGAATTAGTGTCATTGTGTCTTTTAAATTTTCAACCAAGAACAATCAGATCTTTGATCATAATCTAGATTTCTCAGCTGAAAAGGAGATTCTGCAGTGTTAAACATCCACTTTTAGCTCGAAAATCGAAGAAGCTTCTTCCTGCACTAAAGGGTCGTTTGAGAGGGATGGTTTGGGGACTGCTTTTTCTCCTTTTTGTGAAATGGTGGAGTTGTTATGGAATCTGATCCTTTTAGGATAAAAGAAATCTTTAAATTGATTCTTCTTGTTTGATGGTAATGAATATTCTTCTTCTCTTCTTAGTGGTGGAACATCAGATAAGGTCCTTCCAATGCTCCTGCGCTTACAGGGCAGAGGAGCAATCTAAACTGATAATCTGTTTGTTTGATCTTGATCTAATTTTCTTTCTCGTTACACATCATTCTTCAAATTTATTGAACTAAATTAGCACTACGAACAAGACTTTTATTTTGGGACGGATGGAGTATTTACAGTTTACAAGAGAAGATTGGAGATGTTGAGAATCTAGAGGAAGGAAGATCATCAATTATTTGCAATAGCTTACAGTACTTTTCACTTTTCAGCTGTACATGTCAAGCATTAGGAAGACAATAATAAATCAGTTTTAAGTTTCCTTCCATGTCTCATGACTTGTCTGCAGCTTTTGAGAGACTAATACACCCAATGAAAATGCCAACACAGCTGCAACAACAATCCCTTTATTCTTTAACAACTGCACTTTCAATGTCTCCAATATACTGCCCTCATTCCACTGGTTTTCTAAATTGGCATCATGAAATTCTTCGTCTTGCCGCTCTTCTTTCGCTTCATTTTCCGTTGTAGCAACATCCCCGGGCTTAGAACTAATTGCGCTCATTTTGCCTGGATCAGGAACTTCAACTTTGTGAAAAGCATTTGGTTTGTTCTCTTCCTGTTCCTGAGGATGATTAACTTGATCTGTTTGTGGATTGATGTTGCTGTTTTGGCTGTTATCTTCGACAATCGCGTCTTTTGTCAATTTTGGGATAACAATGTAAAGAATGTCATCTTCAAATTTTGCAGTAGTTTCCTCAATGTTTGATTTTTCAGGCACTTTGTAAGATTGCTGAAACCGGACATGTTTCATCTCATTGACCTGCCTTTCTCCGCTTACTATTATATGGCCATTGTCATCAACTTGAAGCTTCACTTCATCTTTCTTGAATCCTTCAGAAACAGGAAATTATAACAATATAAGAAATTCAAAAAAGAAGGAAAACACATTTCAAACTGAAGTACAAAAGCCATTTTACCTGGAAGATCAATGATCAAACAGTAGCTATCTGAATCCTCTGTCAAACCCGAAGAAGGCGTAAAGTCCTCGAAAACCAAGTTTTGTGGTTTTCTTGTTTGAGCAACCCTTCTATTTCCTGTTCCAAACATATTTGCCATTTTTGCACACTTTGTGTTGTTGAAGAAGATAATAGAGGCCAAAGCACAAATTGCCAAGATTTGGTCTTGAAATGCACTCAATCATGGTGCATATATAGCATTATGCTATATGTTTTATTAAACCTCTCTTAACTTGCCTTGTATCATCAGGCGTTGTTATTCTAAACTTTCCCTTTTGGATGGACAAATTGTCGGTAAGATAACGGCCATATTCCAAACTTTGCATAGTTGATAAACCAAAATGACCTCTCTTTCAGTAAGTATAAAATATTACTACCATATCTCATAAGCGAATAACACGAGATACAAAGTAAAAGATACATTTATACAGAGGAATATCATTATGTTTCCACATGTTGTTTGCGAGCAACTACGCCAAACTCAACTAGTTGTGCTTTGATTTGTAGGTTCAAAAACTTGTTTATTCAACTTGACTGTGAATAAAATTATTTGATATATGAATCATGCATTCAATTTCATATCAAAATTACCTGATAACGCATAATTATTTGTTATACGAATGATATATCAAAATTTATCTGAATAATCTTTCCAGCACTCAACCAATACATATAAACTTCAAATCGAATAACTTTCTCTGTCCCGAAATTATAGTCTAGTTTGGATGTTCACATTTAATTCAATTTGGACTAGAAATTAAAATCCAAACTGGACAATAATTTCGTGACGGAAGGAGTATTAAACTTTCATTTTTTTTTCTTTTTACAATTTCAATTACATTCGATCCCTGAAGCTCTCAAAAATCCACTATGAATCTTGTACTTGTCCAGTCAACAGCTTACCTTAGTATTTGACTGATTAATTCGTTAAAGAATTATAGTTGTCATTTGTAAAAAGTGCAAAATAGTTCCCTACTTTCAAGTGAAGAATATGACAAATTGTCCACACAAATGCAACATGAAATTAGAACCCCTATTGTAAAATCTCTGTGTTTGGCAAATATCTATCTAAAATATTTTGACTAACCAAAGAAAAAGATATACAATGTAAAGACTGAAATTAGACCATTGGTAGAAAAGAGGCCCCCCATGTTTATCTCTCAACTTCTCTTTCCAAAGTCCCTTTTTATACAACTAAGCTTGTACCCTTTAACCTTCAAAATCAACTAGATAAATATACTGTTAGGCATTATTAATGCCCAATATCTCTTGATTATACAACACCTTTTAGGGGTTGTTTCAATATTTATTTCTAGTTCATAGGAGTTGAGCATTTTAGGTTCAACCCTATTGTGATTTTATCACACCAAAAAAATCTTTGGTTTGAAAAATAAAATTATTTTGAATCAACAAAATACAAGTTTTGAAGAAAATAAAAAGGAAAAAATAATTTAAAAAAATGGATTTGAAGAGAAGTAGTTTATTTCTGTTTGGGTTTGTTGTTTTATTTGTTACTATTGAGGCAAATATTGCCGATTTTGATGAGTATTGGCTGAAGCGCTCTGAAGAAGCAAAGCAGGCAGCCAATCAAAGTTACCAAACTGATACTTCCAATGTCATTTCTCATTTTAATGAAAATGTCCACAGGTGAGTTTATGGATATTGATTTTTTGTAATTTTTCTTTTTACCATTTTCTTTTTCTCTGTCAAAAAAGATTATTTACCTTGATGAACTTGGATATAAAAGAAAATAAAATACATGATACTTCTTCTGTCCCAAAAAAATAGTCCACTTTGAGTTTTGAAATTAGTACTAAAAATAGAACAAATTTGAAAATTCAATATGGACTATTTTTTTGAGACGGAGGTAGTATATTTTTTCCTAAATTGGCGAGGAACAAAACTAATAGGATAGTCGCCCTCGCAAAAAATCATTGTTTTGTAGCTTTCATCTCAACAAATATATTGTCCTTTTAATTCAAACGGGAAAACATAGCGTTCCATTCAAATAAAAGAGGACCCACTTTTATTTGGTAATATGAATGTTTAATTTCAACAATACATTCTACTTAAAAACATGATTATAATTGTAATATAGAAGAAGAATTATCTTGCGACATAAACTTTCTCTATATATTTTTTCTGTCTAAAATAATTGTGCAGTTTAGAATTTTCCTCCATATGTTTTTTTTGCAGTGCCATGGATGGTAACAATAGCACAAGAAGGGCTTTAGGCAAATACACTGGCCCATGCCTGGCCACCAACCCAATTGACCAATGCTGGAGATGCCAAAGAAACTGGGCCAGAAACCGCAAGAGGCTTGCCGATTGTGGTCTGGGCTTCGGTCGCCATGCAACCGGCGGTAAAGCTGGCCGTATCTACAAAGTTACTGACTCATCCGACAACGACTTGGTGAACCCAAAGCCCGGAACATTGAGGCACGCCGTGATCCAGCCGGAGCCCCTCTGGATCATCTTCACCAAGAGCATGTTCATCAGGCTCAGTGAAGAGCTAATGATCACCAGTAACAAGACAATCGACGGGCGTGGAGTCCAAGTCCATATTGCTTATGGAGCGGGCCTAACTATGCAGTTTGTGAATAATGTTATTATCCACAACGTTCGCATTCATGACATTAAGGCCGGAAGTGGTGGGCTGATTAGAGATTCTGTGAACCATTTTGGATATAGATCCAAAAGCGATGGTGATGGGATCTCAATCTTTGGATCTACAAATATCTGGATTGATCATGTGTCTATGTCCAATTGCCAAGATGGGCTTATTGATGCTGTTCAGGCTTCCACAGCAATTACCATCTCCAATTGCCATTTCACTCATCACAATGAGGTAAATTTTTTTATTTTTTAAAAATGAGGATACTTTTTCTTTCCGAAACAGCGAAATTATTTGGTGAAACCATTTAGTGACGTATGCAAAATGCAATAGTTGATGCTTGTTTAATGTCACTCATGCTTCCTGCGTTACTTAATGATTTCACTCGGTAATATCACTATCTCTATCGTTACTGTTTTGAGAATACTGACGGAATGAATTTGAACAGGCAATGCTGTTTGGTGCAAGTGACAGCAGCTCGGAGGATGCCATAATGCAAATCACGGTAGCCTTCAATCATTTTGGTCAAGGAATTATACAGAGATTGCCAAGAGTTAGGTGGGGATTTGTCCACATTGTCAACAATGACTATACACATTGGCTCATGTATGCCATTGGAGGAAGCCAACATCCTACCATCCTCAGCCAGGGCAATCGCTTTATTGCTCCTCCAAATGCATTCGCCAAAGAGGTAATTTCATCATCTAGTGTAAATGATATTGTACACGTGAATTTATACAGTGAAATGACTTAGAAAAAACTAATAGTGCAATGTGGATTCATTTACAGGACCTTTCCCAACGTATATATGCAAAAGACTTTTTTTTTTTTTGTGGATAACATTTTTGGTGTGTCAATGTAGATTACCAAGAGGGACTATGCACCAGAGAGTACCTGGAAGAACTGGGTATGGAAATCACAGGGAGATCTTATGATGAACGGAGCCTTCTTCGTGCAGTCTGGAGATCCCAACCACAAATTCGTGTCTGGCGCGGATATGATCAGCCCGAAGCCAGGGGAGTTCGCGAACAAACTCACTCGTTTTGCTGGTGCCTTGAATTGCATCCTTCGCAAGCCATGCTAAACTTCTAACTTTGTGCACCAAAAGATGCATTCCATTCTTCATTGTGATGAATACTAGCAGTCAGAAAGAAGTTGCGAGGAAATTATTGAGAGAAATTGTCTTGTGGGAAAATGCCCCTGCTATGTAGAAATGTTTGATGATGTTCCTTGTTTGAAATAATTGATTGGTTGGAAACCATTGCTTTCTCTCATGACCCAGATCGAGAAATTCGACAGAAAATGAAATTTGGGATTCATAACAATGGCATGAAATTTCTATATATATATATGATCGGGTAACAATTGTATATATTTATACAAGGAGTTTGAAAGCTAACATCTTCAAACTCAAATGAAGCCTCACTTAGATGAACATACATTTGAATACAATGGGGAGCCAAGAAAAATGGTGGAGGCTAATTTTCTATACAAATGATTACCCAAAAACAACAAATAAAAGAAACAAGAAATTTTCTACATTCTAGACATTCTCGTATCAGCAACTTTTCCTCTTAATCTGACCAGCACCACAAGCTGTAGATGGCATTGATCACCAGTCAAATCCAGTCTTTATGTAAACAATAAAATTATTTATTTCTCGTATCTGCACAAGTGAGGATAAATAGTATTAGTTAAAACATTTGTAAATACAGCCAAAATGCCGGCAAAAATTGATCTGAAAGACAGAGTTCTGAATTGCAAACCTCAGTAGGGACATTATTTGAACTATGCTACAGCCGCCAAAGCAGGCACCTCTAATTTCATCAACTTCATGAACTGCAGAAGAACAAAATAACAGAAGGTTAAGAACATATCCAGAAGTTCGTTTCACATTAGAAAAAGCAAAGAAGGTAAAGTTTTTATGTTGCTCAAGAGTAAAACAAACCTGTGATGCTTTCAGTTCCAATTCCTGCCATTCCAGAGCAGGATCACTTCCTTCAACTACACCAAGTCCAGCATAGATTAATGCACCAATATCCTACACCGTGACAAATAAAAAGAGAATCAGTCAATCAAATAAAAAAAAAAAAAAAAAAAAAAGTCATTTGAACTACTTTTCTCCCTCGATACAAAGGTAGGCAGTGTACTTTCTTCATAGTTCAAATTCAATGACAATGGAGGAAGGAGATTAGTTTTGACCTCACCTTTCCAACCAAAGCCGACCTTATTCCAACAGCAAACTCACTTTGTGCTCCTCCAAAGAAACCAACAGGACCGGCATACATTCCTCGGTCAAACATTTCTGTGAAACATGTGTATTTTACATTAAAGTCCGTGAAAGTTAAGATCAAAGCAATGCTTTAAAAGTGAATAAGAGAACAAATTTTCACATACCAGTCTCTGTGATGAAAGCCCTTGCATCTTCTGCAGGGAACCCGCAAACAGCTGGAGTTGGATGGAGGGAGGATAAAATCTTGAACTGGAAATAAGAGTAGTTGCCAATTTAGGAATTGAAAAATATGATTCAAGAAAGTTAAGTCTCAAGTAAATATGCAAAACAATTAGAAAACAGTTGGAATCCTGACACAACAATAAAAAATGTCAATGAGCTTCAAAGAAAGGGTGTCTACCTCATCATTATCAGAGTACAATTTTCCAGAAAATCGACCATAAAGATGTTGAACTCTGGCCAGTTTGCGTACAACTTTCTCTGGATTAACTGCTACACTAGAGCATATAGCCTACACGAAATATGGTGAAAATAAATGTATTCATATTTTCAGGTCTGAAAATTAAGAGTAAAATGTAAGGTAGGTCCTCAATGTAAGCAACATCAATATCTCTAAGTAACTCAGCAAGAACTTTGGAAAAGAATTGAGTTCCTCACCTCTAGTTTTCCCTTTATGTTCTCCCGGACAATTGTGAATTCATGATGGTCTTTAATACTGCAAAATGATCAATGAGTAGTGTTAGAACCTGATGAGCCAGAAAAAGGGAAATTCCATCTCTAGAATGACAAATAGATAATCTTTTTAAGTATAAAGAAGTAAGATATGAACCTGGAAAATAAATCTTGCGCCATCTGAAGATCAGAGGACTGCGATGCACCCCTCCCACGGGTTGCAGCCAAAGCTTCACTAAAAACATTCAACTGATCACGGCGAAATAGTTGCTCCGGCTGTAGTTTCAAGCACAAATCATTAGAACAAGTAATCAATATGTGTAACTGTCCTACAAACAAAGGCAAGGAGCAAGAATTTCTTTACCAATTTGTGGTAATAGATACAAGTTAGAAGTTCCAAAACCACGCGTCGTATTTAGTATCATAATATCTCTTATTTAGTGTACACTTGCAGAACAAAACTAAGGGTTGCAAAAGGTTTATGAACAGATAGATTAACACCGAAGATGAAGCATAAACATTGTCTTCAGGAGACTAATAGAGCACACTACTATATCACATTTTGAACCGAACATCATTAATCAGAAACTTACTGTGTTCCCAATGAATGCTGGTGATTCAGGGGGTTGAAGGCAAAACTGATAAACATCATTTCCGTCAGCCTTTAACGTGTCCAACCATGTCAAAGGGTCAATATCCTTTGAGGTCAAAACTTGGCTACTACGTGCAAGTACAACCTATAAAGAATAGTAGAAAGGGTTACAGAGTTAACTAAGTTACTGGGTAGAAAGCAGAACGGAAAGTTAGCATCATCATAATATAACTTTTAGCTTCAGCATCTAGTTATCCAAAAAATGACATGTAAATACTAATTCAATTATGGAGTATAAAGTTATTAATAGATAAAAGTGAGTTAGGATGCGCTAATTGTTACCTTTGTCAATGGTGAATCCACTGCTTTAATCTCATCCAAAGCTCGGTTGACTGTAACATCCCATGCCGATCTATTAGGAACATGAGCTTTTCTTGTTATATGCATGGGGGAGGATTCTTCACGTAGTTTTCTAATAAGGGAGGTAACCTGCATCAAACACAAAACTTATATTCCAGTACATGGAAGCATCTAAAAACCCTTGAGATCACTAGGCATACTGACATTAAATAAGGGGACTTAATGCAAACCTTAGCCATCGTTGACTTAAGAGCGGCAATAGCGTTTTGATACGAACAAGAAAGAGCATTGTCCCATGCAATTGTGGCTGCAATTTTTGAACTTCCCTCTAGCTCATTAAACTCAACCTGTCATTTGAAAGAAGAATTCAGGCGCTCATGTACGGAAAGAAATTTCTCGGACACACAGGGAGAGGGGCAGTATATTCACCTGAGGAACCATGAAGTAAAATGAACCAAAACTCCTCCATTCAGGAGATATATTAGCCCTCCCATCAAAGCGAATTCCACCATAAGCACGGATCAATGGACAGTTCTTTGACAAAAACCTATGAAGAAGATAACATTTTGATCACTAATAGTACTTCAAAAATTTAATTGAATCCATCACCGTAACTAAAACCTACATGATTTAAAAATTTCAGAATGCAAACTGCAGAAATAAGACTAAAGATTGCGTTTTGGCACAATTCAAAGAGATTAAGTTCAATAACACTACAAACTAAAGATTCATCCAAAAGGGGTACTAAATTAACTCAAAAAAGGATAATTGAACAACATTTCCCAATGTGGGTCGGATTTATTAGTACCTTCTAATTGAGAGCCAATCATCATGAGAGAATGGACTGAGACTGCGAAATAGCACTGCAGAGCCCACACCGGCTACACTGACGACGTCGTTCTGTTCGATTGAGGTGGAAATGTGGGAGCTTCCATGGCCGTTTCCGTTGCCATTGATGCGGCCATTGAAGGATAAATCGGAAATGGTGATCCTCTTTCTTCCAGAGAAGAAGCAGCGAGGAAGAACGTTGCTCTGGTCTTGCGATTGAAGCCAGTCTAGCGCTCTGATTTGCTGATCGATGGGGACCTAATTGAAAACATAACAAATAATCGAAGGTTAATATGGTCATTTAATTATGACAATTACCCAATGAAATTTTCTTTTTGGACTTTTTCTTTTCCTTTTTTTTTAATTAATTAATAGTAGTTAGTAAATCGTTTTTTCCCCTGTCCACAAATAAAAGTAAAATGTATGTTAAGGGGAGAGGACACAAGAAAATTCTGAATGGAGGAAATAAAGAACCAATAAGACAAAGGAACAACATATTATTTGCTCGTAACATATTTTTAAATATTTGATATGTTATACCTTCAAATCGGTTAAAGTTTTTTTTTTAAAAAAAATGTTGATTCTTTTGTAGTATCATGATTCGAAAGGAATATTATTTTTTCCTGCTCTTTTGCTGCTTAATTATGGAGAAATTGAGTTCAGTTATTGTAATATGTAGAATTGTGCAAAGATATATTAAAAACAAAGATATATTAGGTGTGCTCAATATTCTTTTTCCTAATTATGCCATATTTTTTTAATAGTAGTACTACGCATTAGGATTGCCTGCATCAAAGTCAAATCTAAGTTACATAAAAACGAGGGAAAAAAATGGCGCCTTCATGATAACGGCATCAATTACAGTTTCCAAACGAAATTAGCTTTGAATGTTCCTCTTACAATGGTCAAACATGAGAAGACTCAATTTACGTTCGTTTACAGCCACTACTTTTAAGAACTTAGAATAAAAGAAATTCGTCCATTGCTTACTTTTAGTCTTTATTACAACCTCCGAATAATAGTATTCTTTTAGTCAAAACAAAGACTATTTACGAAAGGAACAACATGTGTTTGAGTATTTCTGTCACTTCGTCTTGATTGACGTCGTGAACAACAAATCTAGTACCTTAAATGCTGTTTTAGGTGTGCCGATAAATAACGTCCTTTTCCATTTAAGTAAATGAAAATCAAGTTTTTTTTTCAATTAAATCTATATTAATTAATACTCATAATTTGGATCAAATATATTATTCAATTAAGCTACAAATAAGATTCTCACTGAATAAATAGCAGCATATAGTGTAGACTGTAAATTCTATTAAAAAATCACCTATAGTTTCACAAAAAAAAAAAAAGAGATTGGAAAAAAAAACGCAAAACTTAAATATATGAAAAAAAAAATAAAATAAGTGAATTCAGACGGATTTAGAATCCAAAAGATTTGTGATAGTTGTTTCCTACACTGTTTGGATAATATATTAAAAAAAAATGTCAGAAAAGCTTAACCATATTTGGTAGCAAACCATGTTTGAGATGTTGAGCAACATGTTTCATGATGTTTATAGACACCTAAAGTTCCAACCAATATATTATCATTTTGTTAACCAACGAAGCAAATCTTAAGAGATTCGAAATATTCTCCTACTCCACTGCTTAGATAATACTAATAATGCATCCAAAACAAATATTCTCGTTATTGTACTACTAGTTTAAAAAACAGAACAATTATTTTGGACAAAACTATAATTTACTAAAAATCATCGACATGTTGTATGTTTGTACTAGGAACTAAATGATGCAATGAACACTCCGAACAATAATTCAGATCTTATGGTACTAATGTTTTTCTTTTTATTAAAAAAAATCCACCCTAATAGACCTCACTTAATTGTGACGCACAACTTATAGTTTCATCTATACAATGACCTCCATGACAAATAAATACTCTTTTTTAAGTAAAACTCACCAAGTATATAGAAATTAAATGAATGATGCTTAAGTAGGCGTGTATAGTACAATTTGGTCCTTTTTTTTTTATATATATAAGTTTAGCACTTTCTCTGCCCAAAAATAATTATTCTGTTTGAATTTAAATTTTAAGTATGGTTTATACTAAAAAAACTCAATTTGAATAAGTATTTTGGGATAGAGAGAATATTATTTAATCTTTTACGCTTCATATTGCATGGAAGTTGTTAACTAAACTACAAATATAAGTGAAACAATATAACTTCCTTTTTAACAGAACGATTCCTCTTGCCTAAGCAAATTTAAAGTTTTTACGATTTACTTTATTACCTACTCTTCAACTAAACCATTTCTTTCTCTCGTTTTATTAGTATTTTTTTTCTTAAAAAAAAAAGAGAGAAGAGCGAACCATCTAATAAGTGAGGGAGTGATCACAAAGAACACAACAACGCAAAAATTATCAAGAGTTGATATCATTTGGATTGGATCATCTTGATTCCCTCTTTCTGTACCAACCACGTGGACATACCAATTGGCACTCGGTTCCAACCAAAAAAAAAAAATTTTGGGCCGGGAAAAAAGAAAAAGAAAAGAAGGAAGAAAAAAAAATGGTGGATGGATGGAAAGTTTGAAAAAAAAATTAAAATGATGAAATTACCTCAAGACGAATAATCCCAGATTCATAAGCAGAAGGGTCGGATTGCATGTTGGCAATGGCGGCGTTCAGGCGGTCCATGGCCAACGCCGGCGACTGAACCGCGGGCAAAGTCCTTGTCTCTATTGTTCCCATTGGTGCTCTTGGGTCACCGTGGCACCCGTTCATGGACAATGAACAAGTAACCAAGTACCTCTGCTAGGACAAAACGAACAAAAGAAAAAAAAAAGTTTAGTAAGCTCTTGTTCAAACCACCAAATTAACTGAACTTCTCGTATATTGTATTCCGTCCTAGAAAAATATTACGACTTAATTGAAGAGGCTTACTTTAACGTAAGAATTATTAGAAGAGGATGAGCGCCATCCAAAAGTGGAGAGTGAGGATGAATTTGAGTAATATTTCATGGATTGAAGTTCCATTTTGGTACGTGCATTGATGCAATATTGCCCGGTAGTTGCTGCTGCCATTTTTGAATGAATGAAGGAAATGAAGATTCTTTTTTTTTTTTTTTGGTTAAAAAAGGAGAGGAAATAAAGAATTTAGAATTGGTTTTTAAAAGAATTGGAATAGAGGCTGAAGTTCTTCTGAATGTTTGAAGATTTGCTTCAGCCTTTTTGGAATTGGAAGCTCTCCTCTTAGAGTTAGTGAAAGCACGATTCTGGGAAGTGGTAACGTCCCAGCTATTTATAGAAAGGCTTATGTAGAACAATGAAGGTGCGTGTTTCAGAAATGGTCCTACAAGTTTTCAAAATTTTCTCCTTTCGGCCCTCTTAAATTATTATTACGTCATAAAGATTCAGAGATAGAGTTTACTATCCCAAAATAGGTTTTTACAATTGCAGTGTGATGCGCAGAATCTGCTAATAGTATTATATTCCCAATGGAAAACTTTATGTTCGTTATTTGTTTTCTTTTATGTACCATTTGTACTCATTTTTTTCTTTTTTCTTTTTTTAAATGAACAATCGTTTCATTCTGGTAAGTTACTTTCAATTCATAGTCATGCTTGATTAAACATATTACTCTTATTATAGGTTTTCATTTTCTAAATCAATAATATTGTATATTAATTGTGTTAAGGTTAAGTTTTGTACTAATAATCAAACAATTGTCGTCACTTAAAACACATGTTACTATCATGCTATCAATGTCCCAACGTACTTTCACCCAACAAATCATTGCTTAACTTAGAAATCACACAAAAATCTCTTATAAGGATATTAAATAAATTAATCTTCAAAGTTTGATTATTGAAAACGTAAAAGTGATCAATTGTGAAACTCCACGGCATTTACAAATTCACGTGTAAGGGTCACAAGTTAGCCTAGTTAACGTCTGAAAAAATACTAAGTAATTTTCTATCTTTTTATTTAGTTTTCGTTTTGAAAGAGCTTCAAGTGCTTGGAACTTTACTTAATTTTTGTCAAGGAAATGGAATTTTTGGTTAAAATAACAATATTTGTTTGATCTTTATTAACGTTATTTCGATTTATTAGACTATGTTTCAAACTTGGCAGCTTTCCAAAAGAAAACACGCTGGGAAGTCAAATATTTTAAAGGTTTATTTTTTGGTGGGCTTGGATTGGCGGCGCCAATAATTCTATCCCATGCACTATTTAACCAGGATGATCAGAATTAACGTTGTTGAGTAATCATGTTTATGTGTCAATAAGTGCAATTACAAAGTGATTAATGGAAAAATAGTTAATTTTTTCAAAAAACAGTTCTGATTGCGGTCAAATAAACTAATTATTATTAGTTCTACAAACATGAATATTTTTTTATAAAAAACAAACAGAGAGAAAAGTACTTCAGAAATTCTTGTTATGAGACAATTATTCTTCGGACAACTCTAAATCTCTAATAATATCATTAGACATACGGGATTAATAACAATTTTAGTTTATAACTAAATAACATCAATTTACCTTTTTCATTTTCATTATTAAGTGGTTGTCACGCGAATTCAGAAGATTGAGGAAGTGGTAAAGTTTAATTTCTTCGTTAATATGCTATTAATCTAACGTGTTTTGCAATTTTAACTTGACGATAATTACATCATATTATGCGGCCGCCATAAACGTTTTATATGGAAATCAAAATGCAGTTTTTTTTCCACCCAAAACAAAATAGATGTCATGTATGACTAACTAAACATTATACTTGAAAGTAAATGAGATTAAGATACCACATAATTTAGAGGATTTATTGCATGAATGAATTCTTGTGAGGTTATGTATCCCTTTATGGCAAATAATATTAAGATCCTAGGTACACCTTGCAAGGTATACTCAGGCAGTGCGTGTATCACAAACTTAGGAGAAAAAAGTGATCATTTTAGTCCGGATTTTTAGTTCTCACACGCACATTTAATCATCGAATTTTATCCCCATTTTTTTGGCATTTAATCCCCATAATTTTATCCCCTTTTTTTTTGGCATTTAACTTTTTGATCTTATCCCTTTTTTTTTATGCACGTTTAATTTTAAACCTTTTTTTTTTACTTATCATGTTAGCTTTTATATTATTTTATTTTATGAGATAATTTTTTTATAATGATAGATTTTATTTTAGTAAAATTGACTATGGTTAATCATTGAGACTTATGAATATGGAGAATCAATGTGTATTTTCCCAGTAATGAATAACCAACGTTTAGACAATGAATAATGTTATGCAATTATTGAAAGACGATTGATGTAGAATGTATTCGTTTTATTGATAAATATACATGCATAAGGTAATGCGTATTATATGGTTAATGATGAACATGAATTTCATTGTTGTTTTCTGACTGATGGTGTATTATCTTATTACGTTTTTATGATGAATATCTTACGTTAATTAATGAATAACGAGTTCTTATTGATGAATAATTGGACGATGTTTCAACTCTGAGGAAGAGGCTTTTGCTGCTTATAATTCTAGCGCATTGTTTTTTCAATAAAAAGGTTCAAAGATTGGAAAATGTCCAAATCTGGTGTTGTATATTGGAAACAATTTGCATGTAGCAAACAAGGAGTAAAAAATTCATGAGGTAGATGATATACAACAATGAATAATTATGCCGAACTGCTGAATAGGCAATTTCAACAATGAATAATTATACTAAACTGATGAATACGGCAATTTCAACAATAAATAATTTACCAAACTGATGAATAATATAAAGATCTACTAATTTACCAAAAAAAAAAATACTAGTTTACAAAACTGTTGAATAACCCTCTATATCAATGTCTACACTTATTATGGTTTGGTCTTTTTGCAGATTCAGATATCCTGCTTCTTTCGACTTCTGATTGTTGTTCTTCGCTCATGCTCCTTTCAGATTCTGTCTGATATTCTTCGCTCATGCTACAATATGTTTACAAATTCCATGAATAACTTGTCAGATGTGATGAATTTTTTAGTGGGTTTCTTAATATCAACGTATCAGATGTATCGCAAACTTAATGAATGACTGTTCGATGAATTGACGAATAAATGTATATAGATGATGAATAATCTGGGATTATGAAATCGGAAAATTAATAATAATTGCTGACTCAATGAATAACATCCCTTTACGGATGATTATCCCAAAACAAATTTTACAACAAATTATGATGAATACCAATTACCAAATTGATGAACAAATTTAACGAATAAATAACACATAGTTGTAATAAACGATGAATCCGGCAATTTCAACAATGAATAATTATACCAAACTGATAAATAATACAAAGATCTAGTAATTTACCAAAAAAATAATACTACATTGTTATGGTAAACGATGAGCCTGATAATTTCAACAATGAATAATTATACCAAACTAATGAATAATACAAATATCTACTAATTTACCAAAAAAATAATACCACATAGTTATGGTAAACGATGAATCTGACAATTTCAACAATGAATAACTATGCCAACCTAATGAATAATACAAAAACCTACCAATTTCCCAGAAAAACAACATCCAATAGAAAAACAAAACTCTAAATTTGATAGACAAACATCGTCAATCGAGTGAATATACCTTACATCTACAGAACCCCAAAAAAAAAAAAAAACACCAATGGTTGAATATGAAAAAAACTTTAAACTTGATGAACAGATATGCATAATCGAATGCATATACAGTAAATCTACAAAACTCATCAAAAAACGCATCAATAGTCCAAAAGATTAATAGTATTACCTTCGTTCATCTTTACTTTCCGAACTGCTTCTGTTCGGTTCAGGATCCTCAATCGGTGGTTTCTGCGTGGATGAATTTTGTTCATGTATTACCTTAAATCCCATCTTGAACAGAGTATATTTCCACAATTTCCACTGGATTTGATGTACAATCTGATTCCGTCCCAAAAAATCCAGCCGACGAGAGATTTTTTAGCCAAATCGCTGTAGAGAAAATTTAGTTTTTTAGTTTTTTTTTTTTGTTTGAGACGGATTGTGATGAATGGGGTGGAAGATGGATATGGTTAATGGCTGAAAATTAGGAAGAAATGGTGGGATTTGAAATTTCAAAAATCGCACAAAATGGGGAATTAAATGGGATTGTTGTAAATATTGAGAGATGTCCATTTTTGGGTCGCGTGAGACTCACACTAGGTGTACCTAGGATTCCTATATTACAATTGTCCCTTTATCTACTTCCCCAATCTCATAGCCTGAAGGATACTCCATCCGGCCCTTATTATGAGGCATTTTAATTTTTTCTAAGTTTCACCTAATACACATTTTTAATCGACAACGAATGTGAAAATATATTTTTAAGATTTTTTTTGTCGATTAAAAATGCGTATTAGATGAAACTTAAGACAAATATTTTACTAAGATGTAGAAGTTAAAGTGAATTTCGTTTCTTTTCATTACAAATCATATATACATCATGATCATCTTTGAAAAAAAAGCATATATAAGCCACAAATTGGATCTTTGATAAGAGGTGCTTAGAATAGGTGCTTAAATTATAGTAACTGGAAATAATTGGAGTTCAAATACTTATCCGTATAATAATCTAATAAATTCAACATTAAACATTCAGGGTTTCATAATAACCAGTTTTGCTCTAACACTCCAGAAACAATACTACTCCCTCTATTTCAAAATGTAGGTCATTTTAGGTTTGGAGAGATTTTTCAAAATGTAGGTCGTTTTACAAATCCTAGGCAAATTAATAACTATTTTTTCAAATTTACCCTCAATAAATGATGCTAATATATTTTTATTTATTCTTGTTTATAGTTTCAATGTAATTAATGGGGTAAAAAAGATATTTAACACATAAATTAATTGTTGGATGATTGTCTCCTTAGTTTATGTGCTAAGTTTAAAAAAACTTATATTTTGAAATGGAGGGAGTATATGATAATAATGTTTTCAAAACCAATTAATACTGGGACCAGTTCTAAATTCCAAGGATCTAGAAGATTACTGTTCTTTTGATCAAGAGAAGAAGAAGAAGGCCCTTAAT